AATATTAGCTACATGTTTAGCTATTTTAGTAACTAAAGATATGCTTTAATAATCTAACTTATTCTATACTTAGAGACTAATCTTAATTATTCTTATTATTACTATCTAATATAGCGCTTATAGTTACGTCTCTATCTATAAGCTATTCTAATACTTTAATAAAGTTCTCTAGTGCCTCTATAAATAAAACTAAAAGCTTACTATTCTTTTTGTATTTAAGTTACGCTAAAATTACACCTAGTTAGTAACTCTATTACTCTACTAATAAGTGTAAGTTAGATAAGTAGAATTCTATCTATGTCTAGATCTTTAAGATCTTATAGATTTAATTATAGAAGCTAGTAAAGAAAAGGCCTCTATAGATTATATTACTATTCTATATAGTAATCTATTAATCTTATATATTAAGCTAGTAGTTCTTAAGCTTATTAACTATCTTATTAATAGTGCTCTTCTAATTATAGAAGTTTAGTTATAACTATAATAAGCAATTACGTCTAAGAGATTATCTCTAACTACTATAAGGCTGTAGATTATTTAGTATTATCTATTTATAGATGTTTATAGTAGCTTACTTATTATTCTATTAGAAGACGTAAAGTATTAGATCTTAATCTTTATCTACTACTTACTCTACTATTTTTATATTATTACTACTATCTAGAAGCTTATTAATATTAATAGGTTTAGTTATAGTACTACTATACTAGGTAATTATTACTATATATAATAACTTTTATACATTTAAAGATAGAGTAGAAGTAGAAACTTATAGTAGATAGTTTGTTCTATCTTCTAAATTAGATAATACTACCTTAGCTAAGCTAGGCTCTATACTTAGAATATTACTAGTAGATATAAAGCTCTTAGGTAACGTTAGAGACTTTAGAGTCTCTTATGTATCTAACGCGTTATCTATATAGGTTTTAGTAGATAGCTTACGCTTTTTACTAGTAGTAGTAACCTCTAATATAAGTTTCTTATAGTTAATTCTTCTAGAAAACTTCTTACTACTATTTTGTATAGTTGTAGATAATTAAGAAGTTAGTAAATAGCTTTTACTTTCTATTCTAGTGTAACCTTTAGCCTATCTATTATACTCTAGAGTAGAGTCTATAGTGTTATGTATGTTTATAGTAACTATTAATAGATTAATATCTATATTAAAACTAAACTTAGAGTGCTATACGTTAGAATCTATAAGCTTGCTTACACTATTGTATAGTTTAATTAGCCTAAGAAATAGTCTCTTAGTTTCTATAGAATACTATAGAACTTAATAGAAGATAACTAATACGTCTAAGATTACTATTAATTATACTATCTAAGCCTAAGGCGCAGATTTAATTAAGAAGATCTATAATATAGCTAGAGAGCTATATGCTTATAGTTATAAGTAAGAGAAAGTTTAGGTAGGTTTTGTAAAAACCTTATTAATAGAGCTAATAAGTTAGTTAATTATTATAAACTATTCTTAAGTAGTATTATTTGCGTCTAAAAGCTACTAAGTAATCTTATACTTTAGAAACTAGTTTCTAGTAATCTAGAATTAGTGTTAGTTGTAACTAGATAGAAGCGCCTATTTACTTATCTTAAAGTTACTATATATACTACTATCTTATCTGCGTTACTTATAGAATTTAATATTCTAAATAGATTTCTCTAGTACTATTACTATCTTATTAATAGAGTTGTCTATAGTAATAACAGAATATAAAGATAAATAAGACATAGCCTAGACTAGCAGTAACCTTTTATACTATAACTATAGAAACCTACTTAGTGTACTTAGGTATCTTAGAGTAGCGTTAGTGTATATTATATAAAGATAGAGCTATTAATAGGCTTTGTAAGCTCTAGTAGTAGTAGTGTTATAGCTTATCTAGGTAGTTATCTAGTAGACATATGTCTTTGCATAATTATTCTATTTAAGTACTACTAATATTATAGTAAGGTATACTCTAGAGTACTATATTATTAGCTTTAGTACTATTTAGTATAGTATTTATTAGTAATTATAATAAAGCGCATAAAGTTTCTACTACTAGAATAATTATAAGTAGCTTTCTCTAAGTCTAGAGTCTACGTAGCAACTTTAGGCTTATAACTTATTAGTTATTATACTATAAGACACTATAATAGAGAGCTATATATATTACATTATATAAGTTTCTTACTACTAGAATAACTCTAAGCTATTATTATAAGGCTTAGATTCTTATACTACTAAATCTATTAGCTCTTATAACTCTATATATAGTAGTTATATAGCTAGCGCTCTTGTCTATATAAATATCTAATAGCTAAGATAATACTAAGCTATTATAGTAAGGCTAATAGATATTCTACTATTAACTTTATTAGCTCTTATAGCACTAAATACCTAGGTATAGAACCTATAAGGTAAACACGCTATAATATATTAATATCTTACTATCTATATAATTATATATAGCTTTATCTAAGATCTAGACTATAGTTAGAAGGTATATACACTAATATATATAAAAGTGTTACTACTCTAGCGCTATATTATTAGTATTATATCTAAAAATACCTTATCTTCTAAGTTATAAGTAGAAGATCTACTATATTAGTAGTATATAATACAGTGTTACTATAATAGTAAGGCAGACTTTAGTTATAGTATAATAGCTTTACTACTTATCTTATAATAACACTATAGAGAAGTAAAAGGTAGTAGTAAGTAGTTAAGAGTAAGAGAATAAAGAGGCTATAATAAAAACCTCTATACTACGTAATATATAAAGAGTAAAGTATCTACTTTATAAAGGTAGTAAATATAAGTATCTTATAGTATAGTTACCTAGTCTTGCAGAATTAGTTAATATAAGTAGTATTACTTATTCTTATAATCTTCTTATATAGTAATACTAATATACTATTAGTAAATACAACCTCTTAGAGCTATTTTTTAGAGTATAATTTACTAAAGATAGCCTTTCTACTAACTTTATTAACTTTCTTATTCTCTTATCTTCTATCTTTAATTATTCTAGAAAAGAAATTATAAACAAAGGTTAGCTATTAGTAAGCTACTAATCTTAGTCTACTCTAGCTATATTCTATAGTTCTCTAAGAAAAGATTTAATTAGCTCTTAAGAAGCTACTACTAACGTCTTATTAGAAAACAATAGTTATAGATAAGAATATATAGAAGATATTTCTAATCTCTAATAAGCTACCTAGCTATTTAATACTGTTAGCACCTACTAATACAATATATTAGAGCTATCTTCTAGGTATCTACTAAATTATTAACACTGTAAAGTACATTAGGTAGAAAATAGAAAGATTACCTAATCTAATATTATAGCTAGAGCTCTAGAGCTAAGAGCCTAAAGATTTTATAATCTAAGGTTTAATTACCTCTCTTACAGCTCTTATTATTACAACCTAAAAACTACGCTATAAAGTAAGATACTAGAGTTAAATCTTACCTACGTGTAAAATCTTAGGTTTTATATAGTAGTAAAAGGTATAATCTCTAGAAACTTTTATATAGTCTCTAGAAGTTATAAAGAGTAATAGAGCGTCTAAAGCGCACTAATCTATTTATTATTATAAAGAATTTAAAGACGTTCTCTACTAAGTAGATACTTATAGTAAGCTTATAAGAGTGTACTAGAAAGGTAATAACCTCTCTATTATAAAGATAGAAGTATAAGAACAAAACTCTCTTATAGATTTCTTTATTCTATTACAAACGTACTTAATTCTAGTGTTTCTATTATAATAGATTATAATAGCTACTTCTAGTAGTTAGACAAGATAGCTTCTTTTTTATATTCTAGGCACCTATATATGTATACTACTTTAGTAGTAAGCTCTAACTAGGCTTAATAGCTTTATAGTAAATCTTGTTTAAGATCTTTATATAATAATAGCTCTTCTATATAATATAAATAAGAAGTAATATAAAGACTATAAAGATAGCTAAGGTAATACCTATAACTAGTAGCGTATTAAATCTAAACTTTTTATTACTAGCTAGCGCTATAGTTATTCTAAGTACTACTAAAGAAGCTATCTTGTTTCTAAAGCTTAACCTCTAGTAGCGTATTAGTTAAGCATTATAATATAATCTTACTAAACTTTCTATACACTATAACTCTATTAAGAGCTACTTAAAGTTTACTTATCTATAAGCTACGTTAATTCTCTAGCTTATAAGAATCTAAAGCACTTTAGTAGATTAGAAAAGTACTTTTAGAGATAATAAATACTACTTATAAATATAGAGGCAGACTGCTTTATTACTCTACTATAGTATACTTTAGTAAATATTAAATAAAGATAATATAGTATATACTAATAGTAGTGCAGAGGTACATATTATCTAGAGCATTATATTTATAGTCTAGCGTTGTAATGTTCCTTACAGCCTAGAAAGTAGAAACTAGAAAATAGAAAATAGAGAACAGAAAATAGAAAACAAAAAATAGAGAATAGAATATAAAATATAGAACACAGAACACAGAGAATAGCATACTAGAACCTAACTCTAGAAATAGACAACAGCTAACGCATTCTTATATTGCTGCTTTAGCAGACAAGAAAAGAGGCAACCTTACTAGAAGAGTAAGCCTATTAATTAACTCTAATTAAGACTTGTAACATCTAACAGATCGCGAGGGTAAACTAATTTTTATAATCTTATAGTTGTATGTGGAAGAACAGGTGATTTAGGTCTTTATATTGGGGGTCGAGACCTATGGCAATCTATTGGAGCGTTAGCGGCAGCCTTAGGTGCGAGAACACTAGTATAACACCAAAAATATACACGCGGATACTAGTCACGTTGTGCTCTATGCTGTAATGAGATCAATTCTTCAAGCTGTTGTGTTATCTTATCAAGCCACCCGTAGATGCGCTTTTACCGTAACTCCGTCGCTGAAGATGCAATGCAGGTATTCCTCTCCTTCTCATACGCCGCGTCCGACAAATGTTCCGGCTCCCATCCTTGAATCATACCCCATTTAGTCCTTAGGTAGCATATCCTGCTCGCTGCCGTCCCTGGGTACGTAGTTGATACCCGCGCTCTCTACTGCGCCAATCACGTCTTCCGGGAGGATACCCTCAACTTGGGTCGCGTAGACGCCCGGGACGTAGCCCTCCAGACGCTGATATCTGGCAACCCAGCTCCTTGATGTATCCGCGACAGTGATGAGGCCTTCGAAGACCTGGGATGTGCAGTCGTTGATCTGCTCGGGGTTGCCGGCGAGCTCGATGATTTCTTCGCAGTTGGGGCAGCCTTGAGTGAGAAACTGGTTTTGGGTTCGGACAATGGAGCAGACCATGCAGGCGCGCATGTTGCGCTGCTGGCCTGGCGGTATGTGCGCACCGCCCTGGATCATGTTCTGTGCCATCTCGGATTTCTCGACGTTGGGACGAGGGTTCGCGGGCGGCTGCTGACCTGGCGGATGGCGGGTTTTGGGTGTGACAACGGGGCGCTCAGTACGACCAGGGAGATTGGCGTCTAGAGAAGGGTTGTCGCGACCTCGACCTGCAGCGCGCGGACGTGTAGGAGGATTCTGAGGAGGAGGATGGGGCTGCTGTTGATGGTGAAGCGGAGCCTGGTTGTCGAAGATGGATGTAGGCGACCCGAAATACTCGATGGGAGGACGGAAGTCGTCGTTGAAGCTGACAGGAAACAGAGCGTCCGCGAGTGTCCTACTTTGTTCCACGGTTCCGGAAGCTTGGCGAGGCTGTCGGCGCTCTGGCTCTGGACCTGACTCGGGCGCCGCTTTAGAGAGGTTTAGTCGCTCACGCGAGGCTACGGGATCGACATTCTCCAACTCGTGCGCAAAGTATGGCTCCTCGTCTGCCCTGCTATTTCCTCGGGGGCGTGTAGTAGCGCGAGGTGGGGTGACATCAGGCTCGACTTCGTCGCCGTCAGAGTCGACGGTGATGTAGCGATCTTTAGGTGTCTTGACCGTTGCCCTACCCTTGCGCGCCATGATGTCTAGTCGGAGCCGAGGTCTCTGGTTGGTTGGGCGTTGGTGGAGGCGTTTAGCGGCAAGGCCAGGCGATGGCGGGACAGACTCGTTTGATAACTTTCGGCGGGCAGTGCGGGCGACAGGTCACCTTCATTTTGTTGCCGTACGTCACTGGTTTGCTCTTCAAATCTCTTAACGCGCAGGGACGCAACTTCCCTCCCGTCAATCAACAGGTGCACCAGCCCGTCGCGCCTTCTGCAACTACACCCGCTGCCCGCGTGCCTCGCATAACCCAGCTTGTCCCGCACTGCGTCGATACATCATGGGTGCCCCGACCGACGAAGCCACCAAGCTCAAGGACCAGGGCAACAATGCCTTCAGGAACCAGGAATGGGACAATGCCCTTGAGTTCTACACTAAAGCGATAGAGGCCTACAACGCAGAGCCCTCGTTCTACACCAACCGCGCACAAGTACACAGCCCACCTGCGCCTCCCGAGCATGTACTAATCTATCCTCCAGACATACATCAAGCTCGAACAGTATGGATACGCTATACAAGACGCCGACACGGCGATTGAATTGGACCCAAACAACGTCAAGGTACTATTGTCGCAAACTCACATCGTCATCATGACGCTCATCGCAGCACCAGGCATACTACCGCCGCGCCTCAGCGAACACCGCCATCCTCAAGCACCGTGAAGCACTCCGCGACTGGAAGCTCGTCGTCAAGAAAGCACCCAATGATGCCAACGCAAAGCTGCGCATGGCCGAGTGCGACAAGGTCGTCAAGCGAGATGCCTTTCTCAAAGCCATCGAGGTCGAAGACGCGCCGTCGGCAGCAGAGGGCCTAGATTTGGAACACATGGCCGTAGACCCCTCATACGATGGCGCAAAGCTCGGAGACAAGATGACACTGGAGTTTGTCGAAGACATGATTGAGCGATTCAAGAACGGAAAGAAGCTGGCCAAGAAGTACGTCTACCAGATCATCATCGCAGTCATGGACATTGTCAAGAAGGAGCCCACCATGGTCGAGCACGATGTCGAAGACGGAAAGGAGATTACTGTCTGCGGTGATACTCACGGTAGGTCCCAGGCAGAAGGTGTTAACATACTGCGTACTGACAAGGCTAGGCCAATTCTTCGATCTCATGAACATCTTCAATCTCGCCGGCAAGCCCTCCGAAAAGAACGCGTTCCTCTTCAACGGCGACTTCGTCGACCGAGGCTCTTGGTCCACCGAGATTGCCCTACTGCTTTACGCTTACAAATGGCTATACCCTGATAGCTTCTTCCTGAATCGCGGAAACCATGAGACGGACGACATGAACAGAATGTACGGTTTCGAGGGTGAATGCAGGGCGAAATACACCGAGCGGGTCTTTAAGCTGTTCTCGGAGTCCTTCTCCGCGCTTCCTCTCGCCACCCTCATCGGCAAGAAGTACTTTGTGCTCCACGGCGGCCTCTTCTCAGACGATAAGGTCACGCTAGACGACGTGCGAAAGCTCGACCGATTCAAGCAGCGTCAACCTGGACAGTCTGGGCTCATGATGGAGATGCTTTGGACCGACCCGCAGACAAACCCAGGCCGTGGACCCAGCAAGCGCGGTGTCGGTCTGCAATTCGGACCCGATATCACCAAGCGCTTCTGCGAGAACAACGGTCTCGAGGCTATCATTCGGTCGCACGAAGTGCGCATGGAGGGTTACGAAGTCGAGCACGACGGACGCTGCATCACCGTCTTCTCGGCACCCAACTACTGTGACAGCACCCACAACAAGGGCGCATTCATCAAGATCGGCCCAGAGTACAAGCTCAAGTTCACCCAGTTCGACGCTGTTGCGCATCCGAACATCAAGCCCATGGCATACGCGTCAAGTGGCATGGCCGGCATGATCTAATGAAATTGAAGTAAGTTGGTTCAGTCATTGTTCGCAGCGATGCATACTTGGGTGTTCTTCGGCGCATCAGCATACTCGGAATTGGTTGGGGCTGTGTTTGATCTTTCAGGATTGATTGGGAAGGAGCGCTGCTATACGAATGTACTATAGAGCCTGGATGAAGGCACAATTCCGACGTCGATGTAAACGAAAAGCATCGAGCAGAAATCTAAGAGCAGAACATTACCTCCTGCGCGTCTGACACGCTATCTCGGGTAGCGCGTGGTAGATGCGTTGCCCCTCACGCGCGGCCCCACGTGTTGCATCCCAATGCGGCTAAGTCTGTTGACAAACATGGGTCGTCCTCGCCTTCCATCTCATCGCGACCCGCCAACCTGCTAACAAAGCGCCCTTTACGCCTGATCTCGCCGCAGATCTACGATACCGGCACCCTGTCGCATCTCTCATTGTTTCTACATCAGCAATGTGAAGACCAATCCACTTGCGCAATCACCATGTCGCCGTATCAACAAATCTTCTCCACCAACGCTGTCCTAAGCGTCTGGCGCAATCTTCGCAATACGAAAGATAACAACGATCTTCTTCTCGCATTTCAGTACCACCAAGACGATGCTCGCGGGCAGAAGGGCAAGAAGTATGCCAAGGGCGGCGTCGTGGAGAGCTCGCAAGAGGTCGCAGATGGAAAAGCGATCGACGTCGGTGGCAAGAGCATTGGCTTCGTTGTACCATGGCGGGCCATGCAGGCTCAGAGACGCGAACTGAAGGAAAAGGAAAAAGAGCTCGCTGAAGCACTAGTGGCATTGGCTGGAGAGGTTGCGTTTACGGGTATGTATCTGGGACGGTATTTGAAGTCTGATAGAGTATGCGCATATACTGACTGTCCACGATAGATCTCTCTTCCACCCTACAATCTTCGCTCACGCAAAACCCCCTCATCCAGATCCGCCACCTTGCCGCTGGTCTGTCTCGTCAGATGTCGAAGATCGAGATACAAATGGCCGACAATGCTCCTTTCGCAAATGGAAAGAATCTATACACCGGCGGAGAGATAGCGCAAAGGTTTCTCCCGCCGATACAAACACTCTTCCAACAGCGGCCTGTACCCCAGCGTATGATCTTCGAACTGCTCATGGAGTTGAAAGACCTTATCTACATGGGCATGGCAGGCTGTGAGAAGGAGGTCTTGGAGTGGGAGGTTGATGGCGCTGCGATCGGAGCGTTGGAGGAGCTGGATGATGCGATGGTCAGAGCAGTCACACCAACAGTACCAGCCATCGAACCGGAGCAACGAAAAGAGGTTGAGACTGGGCCCAGGCGTATACTGAGGCGCAAAGCTTCGAGCCTCATCTCCAACTCTGTTGTAGTGCAACAGCCCGTATCATTTCTCCTTGCCGCGCCAGAAGAACTCCTTTACAGTCTCGAATCGCTCGAAACAACAGCGCTCGCGCTTACACACCTTCCACTCCCTATACCCGATCTCTGCGCACACGCTGTCATAACTCTCCGTCGTCTCACACCCCGGCAAACTCTCACAGACTTCTCGCAGCAGAAGAAACGAAGGAATGGCCGGTGTGCAGAGTTCGCGCGTTGCATGAGGTGGGCTGGTACGCAGTGGCGGCAAAACGGTGGCTGTAGGAGAGGCTGCATGAACGAAGACGAAGACCCTGAAAACCTTCCTAGCTGGCATAGGAGTAGTCGCTGGTTCGACGAGAAGGGCAGTGGGACATTTATGGTCGGTGGAGGAAGGGCGACGCCGAAAGATGATGGATTCGGTGTCATCAAGATGACGCCTTCGTAGGCGACCCGTGGTGGGAATTTGGGGACTCTTTCGGAACTGGCGTTATGGGATGTACATGTACGATGGGATGGATTTGGATGATACTCGGCGCAACGATACCCTTTTTGATTTCTCGGTATATATATAGGGTAGGAGAACCGCTTCTGTGAATACACTGATGAAGCCTTCGGAAAGGACTAGAGGTATTGCTTCGTCTATATATGGCGAGAGAAAGTGCACAGTCACTAACACGGATAGGAATGCAATGTACTACGTAGTCATGTTTGAGATATCTCGATCTCTTTGTACCTTTGCCTCCTCAGGTCGCACGAGACCCGCTCTTCTCTAGTTCACGATAACGTTAAAGACTCAGTTAGGAGTCAATCGGCTGTGGGCCATTAGAGGCTCAAATCTTGGGTGGGTCTTACAGCTTACACACACGCTGGTGTCCGCCTCTCAGATCAGATGCGGGTGTCTCTAGTGCTGTATGCGGGCACTTGGGGGTCTGGTGGGTCGTAGACTCACACGTACACTAAACTCACATGCCACGACGGTCTTGAGTCGAAGCGCGAGGGAAGAGTCACTGTGTAACGTCTGTCGAGTATAAAAGGTGGATGTTCAGTACAGTGTCTTACTTTCTACACTGCATATCCGCTCCAGTATCCATAACAAACGAGCGATAATCAAGTCTTTACGAGATCTTCATCCACAAATCCAACCCACTACCATCCAGCAAGTTGAAATGACTACAGGCATTCCCATAGACGATCCCTTTTACAGAGCCCCTCCGCCCATCGTAGATGTCGAATACGGAAAGCCCTTCTACTTTACAAATCCCGCGCAAGGTCTCGAAATCACAGATCCCTTAGTAGGAAAAGGAGTTCGAGAAAGTGGCATCAATGGCTCGAAGGTCCTTCAGGACTCTACCACCAAGAAGACATATCTCTGGCAGAACAGCCAAGACCCCGCGGAAGAGACCAGCTATCAGACGTTTGTCGACACCCGGGAGAGAGACATCTGGAAGAGATACACCGTTGTGTGGCGATGGATCAGGTGCGGACCGAGGCTGTGCGGGAAGGTCAAAAACCCAGAGGATTCGACGTGCCCGTGTGGATGGAGACTGCTTATAGACGCTAAGCCGCCTGGGTGGAAAGAGGGGCACGGGTTGAAGGCGGAGACGGAGGGATGGAAGAACGATGTTAATCCCTTCGCTATGGACTACAAAGGAGATGCCGTTGGCGACTGGGATTTCGACACGTTGAACGGTGTTTTGTGGAGGAAGCAAATTTCCAGTGGCAAGGAGGAACAGGTGAAGTACAGTCAGGTACCGGTTAAGGGTGGTTGGATCGGTCGGTGGCCGGGTATTCAGTAGTCTGGACTTTCGGTAGAGTGCTTGTTTGGTGGCACATAGATTACGTCTTTGTCTTGGGGAAATAGATTGGTCAATGTCTTCTCTATTGCTGTATTTGATGTCTTCAAGCTGGTTATCGGTGTCTCAACTGCAAATTGATGTAAAAGCCATATGGCTTGAAGCGGGTGATTGTATGAGTATTCCGCTTACAGCTTCCTCCTCTTCCCAGAGCCTTGCTCTTCTTCCGGGTTGGTCGATTCTTCTCTCGATTCGTATGCGCTGTCATGGGTTTTCGACATTGATGAGCTACTGTCGGACTTTTTGTGCGTTCCTAGATATGATCCCATGGCTGTTTGACGAACGGTCTGCATCATGGAGCTAGATTTAAAGCCCTCTGGGTGGGCGGCGGTTATCCATCGAAAACCCGGGTTGGTCGGTTCTTCTCTCGGTTCTTCCCTCGGTTCATAGGGTTTCGACTTTGATGAACTACTGTTGGACGATGTGTGCGTTCCCAGATATGACCCCATGGCTGCTCGACGGATGGTCGACCTCATGGAGCTAGATTTAAAGTCATCGGGGTGGGTGGCGATTGCCCATTGAAGATCTGGGTTGTTCGTCGGGGGTTTATCAAAACTTCGTGGTTGTATGTCTGGATTACAGAATGTCAGTTCTTTGTGTTCACGGAGACTCTATTGACTACCCACGAAGCGAGACATTTAGAGGACCGGAAAAGACGTACCTTCGCAGTTTGAGAGCGAGGAGAATGAATCTGGTATAGAGCCCGAGTCTATGGCCAAGCGTGGTTTTCCGTGTAGTCTTGGAGCGCTATATGTGCATACTATTTTGACGCAGCGGCAGCGTTCACATCTTGGCTTCTCTTTGCTGCACTTCCTTTTGGATGCAACACAGGAGTCGCAAGAAGGCCGGAGCTTCGGATCCCGATCTCTTCTAATGGGTGATGGAGCGTACGGTGGGGTGGCAAGTGGGGTGACATCCCTGGATGGATGCCGACCCGCTAACCTGAAACCAGGCGCTTTGTAATGAGAGGATTTTGCCGGTGTGATGGTGTCTTCAATCTATCAGTACAGTATGACAATAACAACTGCACAGCATGTTGGATAAACACACGAACCTTGAAGATCAGGATCAGCTTTGGACCATTGCGTTCCTGAGTCCCCGAAGACCTGAGTTGCTGGTACGATATATACAACCTCTTTGGTCGCAGAGCTCATAACGACATGACCATGAGGCTGCTCAGTCACGGCGTCTAATATCGCAACCCCACAATCGCCCCATTCCAAGTGTGAGTCCAGTATGGTTTGGTAGACCTTTTGGAAAGTCACACTGCCCGGGAGTCGCACATAAGTAGCATCATGAAAAAGTTGTCCGGTGATAAGTCCTCGCGAAGTATGCGCCACAACCTTGGTCACCTCAGATTCTATGGCTGCTTTTCCCTTTTGATTCTCACTTGACATCTTGGATTTGAGCTCGTGCACTGCAGATGCGACGCTCGAGTGGAAGATAACGATGACTGCCCAGTCCAAATCTAGGGAATACTTTACCATGTCGCCCAAATGCTCGAGATTTGCCATATCTGGTAAACTTTGATCACTAGGAACTGAATGTACCTCAGAGTAACCACTTGGCGGAGGTGAAGAAGACGTCGAATCGGGAGGCAGTGATTCTGATCTGTCGTTGGGACTTTCTTCCGATGAGCTCATACTCGCACGTGATGTTGCGGCCAAACACTCGTCTTCAACCTCATCCTCGGTTCCACTTCCAAAGTCAAAATTGTTGTCACCAGCGATCGATGTAGCGGGCGGTGACGATGTGTCGCTGTGGAACACATGTGCGACGGAAAGATACACAGGT